GGATGCCCTTGAGTTCTGGTACTTTGGGAGAAAAATTTCTGCCAACTCCGTCCACTCCATGGATGATTTTATAAATCTCTATCGTGTCCCTCCTTAGTCATTTCTTTTCTAAACAGAAAACTCCCAGATTCACCAGCCTTTCCCCGTAAGGGAAGGGGCTCCGACCCCCTAATCATTTTGGGGTCCCCTCCTCTCTCCTTCTTCCAGCTCTGCAATACCCTCTGCACGGCACTGGTTTGGGAGATACGGTGACCAGAACTGTACACGGCATTCCAAATGAGGCTGCACCACAGATTTTGTTCTTGTTCGGAGCAGAGCCCGGGGGGAGGGGGGGGAGGAGTTAATCCTTCAGTCCACACCCTGCAGTCCACACCCAGCTCTGCTCATCAAAACTGCCCTCCCCTGTGCTGTTAGCACTGGGAAAGCAAAAATAGGGTGTTTTTAAAGAAGGGACCATCTCTTTTTCCTTAAAAAAAAACGCTTTCCCCAGCAGGGGAGGGTGCCGGGAACAGACACATTTGAAGAGTAGAATGAAGCTGGGCTTGAAATCTTAACCCTATCCACTGTTCCCTCCAAGCTGAGTTAGTGTGAGCTAGCTCACAGTTTTTTAGCCTCCGTCTCACACATTTTTGTCTCAGCTCAGGAAGGAGGGCTCCAGAGCAAACTAATTTACGCAGCAGCCAAATAGCTCGCTTACAACTTTCAGGCCAGCAGCTCACAAAGTAGAATTTTTGCTCACAGGACTCCACAGCTTAGAGGGAGCCTCCCTATCTATCTATTACGGCTCATACATCTATAGCCTTGAGCAGAAAATAAAATAATGCCTTACTTGATGAAAGCTTAACCCGATCCCCTTTCCATACGGCGCCAACTGAAATCAGGACTACATGTCCTTGCAACTCTCCTGTTCCTGAAAAAGGGTCTTCAGCAGTGTTCCCTCTAAGCTGAATAAGTGTGAGCTAGCTCACAGATTTTTAGCCTCCGGCTCACACATTTTTGTCTCAGCTCAGGAAGTGTGGCTCCAGAGCAAACTAATTTATGCAGCAGGCCTAATCGCTTGCGTGCAACTTTCTAATGCCAGT